GTAGTAATACATTCAAATATTTTCATTAATGTTATGTCGTTTGAAAATTGTTTTATAACTTAATTTTTGACCATACAATGAAAAATATCTAAATTCAGCACTATTTATTTTTGTCTATTTAAGTAAATTTACGTATGGTTAAAAATGTAAATTATCTATGATTGACATCTTAATTTATAGATATGGTCATTATTGGTGCATCAATCATGTAGTTGTTTTGTAAAAGTCCACCACGTGTTTGATTAAATGTTGTAGTGCTCGTGATAACTTGATATTTGTCTACCTTATAACTGGTCCAAGTTATGATTTCAATTCAATTTTCCAAGTTTGTAATAATTTAACGTTGTTGTAATTATTGAAAAATATTTCCAATGTAAAGTTTCATTTTACACGTAGAACTCAACCTTGCTGCCTGCGCTCTCCTCTTCCGTTCCCCATGTGAAACACTATTTCGCTCTCCTTAGTGTACCTATAAGATGCAACTCGCATACCAATTCTATTTGTGACCTTGACTAATATCAACGGCTAGTCCCACTTGTCTAATTGAGAGCATGACTGTCTAAATTAAGGTCATTTACGAGTAGATGTCACGTTGGAGACCACTTCAACTATTTGTTTACATACCGAGGGTGTGTGATAAGTGGAAAAAACCATTCGATTCTCCTTAGTACCAGCACTAAGTAAGCAAGTCTTGATGGGATCATGCAAAACCCTTTTTTAGCTTCTTAATTAAAAGAACGTAGGGTCCCCTTTAGTTGCACAATTCCCATCATCGACAATTAACTATCAATCCTCAGAAGTCAAATGAGTCTCTTTAACAATAAAACCTTTCGAAAATACACATATCGAGACGAAAATCAAATGCGAGTTTTGTGGGTGGACGTATCCAACCAAAATAAGATCTCATATTAACATCTTGATACACTGATTTATTATCGTAATAAATCGAGTCAATGATGACTCTGCCGTGGGAAGAGCCGCTTCATTCTTGCTTGATAGGGGCTTCTGTTCATGAGGAATTTGATTGATTTCAAATTGCCAACTTTTGTTAATACGAAAAACTCATACTTGTAAATTAAGTCCATGTTTGGTTTTGATAAAAAAAATGATTTTTAGTAGAATTTAATAAAAGTTGATGAAATATGTTATTGAAAAATTGATAAATGTTGTGAGTCTCTAGAAATGTGTAGTGGAAAATAAATTTGACTCCCATTTTCTGAAATTCATTTTTCCTCGAATTCTTTATCAACAACTTAATTTCAATTTCATAGGATCCACAACTTTCATCAACTTTTCAACCATACATTTCGCTAACTTTTTTCTCATAATCTATAAAAATCTAATTTTTAACTAAATCAAACATGGGCTTAATTTCCTATGATTTTTTCTTTAATTAGTTACGGAAACTAAGCACTCATTTTGCCCTTGTTTAGTTCCCATTATTTTTAAAATACATTTTTCAATCTTATTGTTAACTACACGTTTTTTAATAAAATAACATTATACATAAACCAAAATTTTTTCCTTATTTTTTAACCGCACAATCTCTATCAAATCACTACTACAAAATGCAATTTTGGCAAATAATGGAGTTCAAACGGGCTCATAGTGTCAAACAAGCGCCAACCATGCATCACTTCAACCACGTGGGACTTGCTTAGAAATGGAATGATCGAAGTTAAACAAAAGTTTATGTTGAGAGAGAGAGAGAGAGAGAGAGAGAGAGAGATTAATTGTAATGCAAGGAAACTTTGCAAAGTGAAGGAAATGTTTCAGCAACAATGATTGAAACCTACAGAAAAATAGCATTATACAAAGTTCTGTTCAAAGTCAATGAGCATGGTCCAAACGATGGTCAATGAATTAATACATATACACACATTACCACTAAACAGTGCTGGATAACAGTACGTGGATCCACCAAGGGGTTGGTTCAGCCACTACTTGCCATTGAAAAACCTATAATATTAATTTTTTAGCCTAATAAACAAGATAAAATTCACCTATATGAATAAGATATCCATAATTACACCGATTCGATCCAAGTTCTTGGAATTAGAATAAGTTTGACAGCAAATCACAAAAAAGTTATGCAAGGACATCCTTTATTGCTCAATAGAGTACCCACTCAAATTGGAAGAAGTTTTTGGGAAGGTCAAAGAAAGAACTTGTTCTCGCTATTCTTCGATTTTTTTCTAGAAGCAAATGACGCAGTAATAGATTTGGTACCAATTTTCAAAGTTCTGCGACTAACGGGAGCAGTTTTGAAGTTCAATGACCTCGTGGGAGCTTTACGAAAAGTTTAGTGACCATTTAAGGAATTAACCCATACACGATATGTATATTTTATGGGAAAAATTCACAACTCAGATATTAATTATGACAAATTCAATTTTAAGGTTTAAAGTTTCAAAATTCAAAACTCAAGTGATAAATAACTAATTAAAATTTTTTATAAATGAAATATATTATGGTGTCAATTATACAATTAATGGTCACATGTACGTACTTACGGGTTACAACTTATTTATTGATTACATATTATTAAATTAATTGATCGCAAATTATTTTTCGGTCACAAATCAAAAAATTTATAGGTCGCAAATTATTTTACGATTACAAATCAAAAATTTCATAGGCCACAATTTTTTCATCGGTCACAAATCAAACAAATTATATATCACAATTTATTTATCGATCACAAATCACAAATTTTATAGGTCACGACTTATTACACGATAAAAAATTATCTAATTATTGATCACAAAGTGACAAATTTTTAGGCCACACATTATTTATTGGTCACAATTTATCTATTTATGATCACAGTTAACCAAATAATTTGTGATCACCACCACACCACTGCCTCCAGTCACACTGCCGCCAACATAACCGCCATTACCTCACAACAACAATTCCACAATCTGAAACAAACCAACACTCACCACCAAAATCCACCACTACATCACAACCACCACAACGACACCAGCGGAACAATGCATATAATTGGTCACAACCATCGCCGGCACCAACGAAATAAGGCATCGCCTCACCATCACTGTAGCACTGCCGCCACCAACACTATCATCATCACCATCACCTTCTCGCCACCACCACCAACCACAACCACGATCCCTATCCCAAAAAAATCCTTAAAGTTGATATCGTCGACACCACCAGAATCACCACTACCACACCAAAATCACTGTACGAACACCACAAGACACCACCAACTATAGAAAATCTCTGAAAGCTAAAAGTGAAACAACATAAAACATTTGGTTTCAAAAAATATTGTAATGAATCTCAAACTCATTTCGAGTTTGTCGTGCACCCTGCGTCGCACGCAGCTATGCTCCATTGGTGGGTGCCATTGTGCGCGACCAGATCTTTGGTTGGAGCTCCGGTTAAGAGGGTGCACGACGAATTAAGCATCGCGTACCGCAGTGCAAAACGACCATCAATAGCCGCTTTGCACGGCCAAATCTCTTCCTTAGCTGGAGCGCCGATTAAGAGAAAATAATTTAGAGTAGAGAGAACGAAGAGGTAGCGAGAGAAGGAAGAAAAAGAAGAAATGAAAATGAATTTGAAGTGAAATGGAGTTGGTGTGAGAGAGAGAGACATGAGAGGGGGAGGAAGAGGAGAGAACGGGGAGGAAGTCAGAAGAAAATGATTTAGGGTTTGAATGGGGTGGATAGGGTAGGTATGAGTATATAAATTGATTTATATTATTAATATTAAAATATGGAATTATAACCTGATTTGTGAATTGAAAAATTTCCACATATTTTATTAGAAAGAAAGAATAAAGTATAACAAACACATCCAAGATCATGAATTCTGGATACATTAGAATTTTCTTTGTAAGAAGAGGTTGCGGCGCATAATAACTCCCCGAATCTCGCCAGCAATTACTCCAAATTCAAGATTTTTCAAACCAATAAAAGGCCAAAATAAACTAAAAACCAGAATTAAAAAAAGGTGGACGGATGGGAAGAAACCAGACAAAATTCAAGGTCACCGGCTGCCATAAGCCCTTTTACTTAAGAAAACTAAAGAAATTATTAGCCCGGTTGATGAACTACGACTATTACAAAAAGGCTCCCGATCAAGTTGGAGAGAAAATATAACACATCTAGTATGTACAATATATAGAATAGTATTCAAGAGAAACAGAAATTAAACATTTGTCAATTATTATCCAACACCTTGTAGCCGTGTATCAAATGTGTCTTGAAATGTTGAGTCACGAAGGTACAATGAAAAGCGATATCAAGCTTGATATAATGTCACGTGACTTTCTAGCATTGGATAATTTTTTCGTTCAATTATCTACTAGCACATGCAATTATTTTAAACTTTCTGTCAAATCTTTCTAATAAAGTAGCTTTCGATAGGTTTGATTCTTTCTCTATTCATACAATTCATATTTCCATAAAAATGGTCAAACCCACGTGAATAAAAATTGATAAGATCAGTATATATATAGAAGTCCATGATCGCATGTATATCCTTTATCTTAATTGTAAAATCTCTGCATCGTCGATGAAAGATGAAATAAATAAACAATATATAAGAATAGATTATTTCTCTTAATGAAGCAAATAAAATTCTAGGATTCAACATGGTATTGGACCTCAAAAATTCCGATTGAACAATTCGACCTGTTTTAAGTTCGAAGAGATTAATGATCAAAGATGAAATTTCATCATTAAAAACAAGATATAAGGGTTAGGATTGACCTTCTAAAACAGAATTATGTAAGTACAAATGATGACAATTTGTTTGTATAATTAGGGATGTAAGTGTTTGCGTGTGAAGGATCCAAAAAGAAGACTATAATTTACACATCATAGAAGCACTAGTACAGTGTGATTTAGCTGTGTGATCAGCATTGTGGTTAAGATCATTAATATTACACTAATCAATCAAATCTCTTTCAATGTTTTTATCATAACCCTCATAATTACCAGAGCAGACTCTCTATATTATAATCATTTCTAGTCTGAAGAAGAACATAACCATGATTCCACCATACCTTCACCCCTTGTGGCCGCCACACTATCCGGCCCCTTTTCGCCGTGAAAACTGGGAGAAGAATTAGCCAAGTAATTATTCATCTTTCCATTCGTAGAATTCGTAGAAAAGTTGTAGTAATTGCCTCTCACTTCAAGTTGATAATCGTTTCTTGGACTCACTGCATATTCATCCACTCCTCCCATTTTGATATATGAATCATTTGATGGAATTTGAAATGAATCATGTGCTTTTGAGCCGATCATGGCGGCCGAGTTCACAAGTGGGAATTTCATAGTTGACTGAAATAGTGTAGCGAAAAGGTTGGAACTTTGAGGAGGGCTAAGAAAAGAAGATGAAGCAGATGAATGAAATGATGGTGGTGGCGGTGCTGGTGGTGGTTGCGTTATCTGAGGAAACGGCCGTCGAAGATACGGTGGCTGTGCAGTATCTAAGGCGCTAGATCTGATGGCGGAGGTGGGCGTACCAAAAAATTCAATCCTACTTCTCTGAAAGGGTGAGGAAGTGAATGGTGGTTCCGGGATGCCGGTGAATTCCTGCACCATGGCTCTGAAATTGGTGGTATCTGTAGTCAAAACAGTAGTTGGTGCACGCCTAGAAGCTCTCGATCTTTTCTTTGGATTACGCAACACTTGATTATAATTATCAGATGGTCCTGATATAGCAGCTGGTACTGTTGAAGCAGAAACTAAAGTTGATTGAACAGCACTAAAAGATTCCATAAACGGGGAAGAGGAGAGTAAAGGGTTGATGTTATCAGTGGAATTTGGGTCAGATCTTAGGGTTTTGGACCAGATCATGTTTGGATTAAAAAGTGAGCTCGGATTTTGAAGCTGTGAATAGTTTGATAGTGAATCAAACATAGCTGTTTGAGTGGAGTTTTGTAGCGGCGGCAGCGGAGGTAATTGTGATGGTTGAGAAATGGGGCCAACATGAGCTGTTGGGTTATTCAGGAAAGCTGAGATTGAGGCGGCGGCGCGTGAATCGTACTCTTCATCACCACCACTAGATGACTGCATACTTCCACTATTACCAGAATCCATTCCTGATTTTTTCTCTTCTTTTCTAGAGAGAGAGAGAGAGAGAGAGAGAAGGAAGAAAAGAACCGACCACTAGAAAAGGAATATAACGTAAGAGGAGACAGAGATCTGCAGAGAGATTTTGGTTGCTTATTACCACAAAACCATTAAAGAGAAGCTGCTTGAAAAGCCATTACAGAAAGTAGCCAAGAATTTTAAGGCTGTGATCTGCAAAGAAAAAGGTACTTTTAGAGGCTTTGATCACTAAAAGGGTTTGTAATTGATGGTTCGGAAGAGGGATTTCCCTGTTTCACAAGAAATGATTTGTTCTTGCTTTATATTGTTTCTGGTCGAATTAGGGTTTTCATAGAGAGAGAGATGGTTGGGGGGTTCTATTTAACCATTGATTCCTGAAAGAGAGGCGGCTTCAACTCATGTTTCCCTTAAAAAGATCAGAGTGGGGTCTCCATGAGAGAGAGAGGGAGAGGAGAAGATGTCAAAATGAGAGGGAGACTTTTGTGGTTTAGATTTGCAGTGTGAATAAGATCCAAGTTTATGCAAATAACAACACAACACAAAATACAATCAATAATTAATAAAAAAAAAATACATATTTTGTGTTGTTTGAGAAGGTGGGTAAAGAGGTTCTCTGCACGTAAGAATCATATCTCAGCGTTAAAAGAAATAATAGATCAAAATTAATATGAACAATATTGAATGTTAAAAGATGTAATTGTTTTGAATATTCTGAGGCATAATAACAAAAGGGAGGAAGTAACAAGAAAGTTACATAGTTCATCTTAAATTGAGCCCATGTTTGATACTCGTTAAAAATATATATATATTTTTTTAATTTTTGAGGAAAATAATTTTTCGAATAGGGATTTTTTGAGAATGCGCAGTTAAAAAGTAAGAAATTTTTTGAGTTTATGTACAAAGAATTTTATTGTAAGAATGCGTCGTTGAAAATAAATTTAAAAAAAAATGAAGTTTTGGAGAACAATAGACAAACACGAGCTCATTTAGAACAATACATATATACTTCGTATTTTGAGGAGTTGTTACAAATTTTTAGCTTGTTTATGAAGGTGGCTAAAGAGGTTCCTTTCATGGGAATGATAAGAGATCTCAGTGGCATATGTTAGAGTAATGGACCAAAAAATAATAAATAAAAAATAAAATTGAGTTGCAAAAAAATTAATTGCTGCGAATATTCGAGTAGGTTTGTTTGCTTTTTGTTGATTTTTTTTTTCATTGCTTAAGTAGTTAATTTAATAAAAAATTTTTTTTTTTTTTTCTGTTTCGACATTGACTAAATGACTGAACGAAAATTGACATTTCAATTAAATGACACCAAAACTATTTGGGCAATCGAAAGCAGCATAAATTAATTAGTGCTGCTCATAGCCCGTTTTCCACTTAATAAGACGACTTATAAATGTTAGCTCACTTAGAGATACACTTAGCTCACTTATCTATCTTATTGGGCTTGACTCATCACTGTACCCTAATGTGATCTATTTATTGGTTGTCTTCCTTAGCTCCATGTATGCGCGTAATTGCTTCCTCTATCTTTAGAGAAAAATGAATGTTCTTCTTTGTGACTACGTCCACTATTTTTCTTTTTCTTCTTCTTGCCTTTGTGACAAATTTCATATCGTGATCACACCTTCCTTTGTACATCCTTTGTGGGTGATAAAAAGCAAATGTAAGTGTGGAAGAGTTGAGGGGTTTTGGTTTGGTTTCTTTATTGAGGTGTTGGTTGATTGGATAAACTAAGCCCGAAAAACACTTTGGTGATCTAGCCTTTCGCTCACATATGGTACGAGATCGTGGAGAGCAATTTTTTTCTGCCAAAAATCAATCAAAAGGAGCCTAGATCGCGTGATTTTTCTACAATTGTTGATTATGGCCAAACCAAACACCAATCAGAGAAATGGAAGCCATAACCATACTCAGAACGCAGAGGTGCACCTTCCTAGGCGACTCGTAGGAGGCGTGTGGCGACTATTCTAGAGGAGCTCTCTTCAAATAGCTTGATCGTATTATTAGTCTGAACGTACTGATATGGTTAATTTTGTCTTTTAGGTTATACAAAAAATTTGGACGATTTTACCCCGGACGCTCGGCTTGCGATCATTGGTCAATCGTGTTGGTACATTTGTCGAAACCTTAGGACGAATGGTGGTGGCCCTAAAGCACTAGATTTGCATATCTCGATTTTACGGACTTTCAAATGTGGTCAGTTGGTAAATTGACTTATCTCATTTAATTTCAAGCACTAGCGCATCATCGTGTGGGGGTGACACTATGATTGAGGTTATCATGTGGGGTAAACACTGCGTGTGCTAGAAATTAGGAACTGCTTGCCTTTAATTATTACCTGGTTGAATTATTCATTTGATAAAACCAGCTTATTATCTCTGTGATATACTGTGTGCGATATTGTTTATGATTGACATATATCTTTGTTACACCGTTCATTCCATTAGAATACGTAGACCTTCCTCATTTGAACATTCTCTTGATCCAAGATCTCGAATCTTACGAAATTTTAGGAATTTAGAATGGTATATATTGTTTGCAACCTTAGGACTACTTTGTATGGTTTAATTGTGATTCTGTGCATTTTTTATTGATTCATAAAAATGACAACTCACAATTTTGATTTGAAATTTTTTAACAAAAATGTGATTTTTCAATATGGAAACAAAAGATGAGAGTTATTTTGGTTTAATAAAAAGTTTCAAATGCCATTGAAGGAAATTTTTCTGCTGATTTTTCAAAAGAAAAAAAAAAGAAGCTGATAAGCTTGCTTATACTTTAATCGTTTTACATTTGTTTGACGTTGTTTTTTGAGAAAAGTTGGTAAATTGAAAATCACTAAAGAACTTTGGAAAAAAATTAGAGGATTTATATTTGTTCAAATCTGCTCCGAATAAGCTTTACATATTTTAGCGTTTTTCAGTTTTAAAATGAATCATTCAAAGGATTTTGATGACAATTTAGACGTGTTAAACAAACTTGTTCAAAATATTATTAATTGTGAAGAGTCGGTATTTGAAATCTATAAGACTATAATTTTGCTTAATTTCATACCTGATACTTATAAGAAAGTTAAGAATACGATTAAGTATGATATGGACACTTTGATGTCTGAAATTATTATTGATTCACTTAGAAGTAAGGAGATAGAGATTAAAACTAAAAAAAATGATAAGAAAGGCGGTGAGATTCACATGATGAGGGGGTAGAACTCGGTTTAGGCTAAACAATCATGATGGTTTCCAAAGTGATTGCAAGTCAAGTAGTAATAGAGGTAAAAAGAAGGACAAATGTAGGTCTAGATCAAAATCTAGGATGAAGGTTAGGAAATAATATGGTTGTGAGAACACATGACATTTCATAAAAGACTGTTATAGAGAAAATGGTAAGCTAAAAGGTAAAGAGAGAGAGAGAGAGAGAGAGAGAGAGAGATAGATTAAGTAAATGTGTTGTCTTCTGCTTCAAATGTTGATGATGGTGAAGTTTATATGCTTACAAGTTCTGTTGTTTATCCTGCTGAATTGAATCTTACTGTCAATTCTCGTTTGCATGAGTAGATACTTGATTCTAGTGCATCCTTTCTTGAGATATCACAAAAGGACTGATTTGAAAACTTGCATGAATCAAATGATGGCTATATTGTGCTATGTGACAATTCCACTTATACTGTTGCTTGGATTGGTGATATTATTTTAAAATCGACACTGATTCTTTGTATATTTTAAAAGATGTTAGATATATTCTTGAACTATCTAGAAATTTAATTTCAATAGGAAGACTTGAGAAATCTGACTTCACTGGCAAAATTGGAAATATAGTTTTAAAATTGGTTAAGGTTGCAATTGTTTCCATCAAGTGAATTGAGAGAAATGATATTTATATCACTACTAGAGAAGTGATAAAATGTTTAGATTCCATATCTCTTCTGCCAAGGCTGATCACACATATAAATGGTACTATAGACTAACACATGTGGGTATTAAGGGGCTTAAACTTGTTAATAAAAATGTACTTTTGGTAATGATTGTGTGTCTGATTTTTCTTTCTGTGATCACTGTATGCTTGGTAAACATCATAGAACTTCTTTCTCCATGAGTGTGTGTATAACTAAATGCATGCTTGAATATGTGCATTCAGTCTTGTGGGGCCCTGCTAGTAATACTACCTCAGGTGAAAGTAGGTATCTCTTGTCTATCATTGACGATTACACAAGAAAAGTGTGGGTTTATCTTTTAAGTATGATACATTCCACAATTTTAAAATTGGAAAAGACAAGTTGAGAACCAAACTAGCAAGATGATTAAGTTTTTGAAAAATAATAATGGCCTAGAGTTTTGTAATACAGAATTTGACAATATGTGCAAAGAAAATGGAATAACAAAGTATAAGGCTGTTATACTTCCCACCAAAATGGGGTAGCGGAAAGGATGAATAGAATCTTTGCTTAATAAAGTGCGCTGCATGATGTTAAGTTTTAGTATCCCAAAGTCATTTTGGGGCAAAACTTTTATGATTACTTGTTATTTGATTAATTTGACTTCATCTACTACATTGAATGGTGATACTAATAAAAAATGGCCTGTAAACTTAGTGATTATTTTGTGCTTGGAACTTTTGGCTGTGCAACATTTTCTCATCAGAGAGAGGAAAAACTTAAAACTAGAGTTAGAAAATGTGCTTTTCTAGGTTTCCCTGAGGGTATCAAGGTTTATAGGTTATGGGATAGAATCCAAAAAGCGGGGTTAAGATTATTGTAAGTAGATATGTTACATTCAATGAGGGTAAACGTCATGCTTTAAAATTGACCCTGAACCAGTGAGTAATGAAGAACAAGGTAAAGAGAGAGATCAATTGAAGGTGGAGTTATGAAAACTTAGCACATCTGTCACTGCTACTCCTAATGAGGTGGAGACTTACGTTCAGCAACCTGAGGTGAAAATAGAGATGAAGTAGTGATAGAAGACCATCCAGAGAAAAAA